CAGTAGGATAGGAAAAAAAATGTATGATTTGGCTATGACTCTTGTTTCATAAGCCCACTTGGGGCATTTGCATCTTCCATGCAAGGATGACATGCTGTGGTGCAGATATTTCTGTTCGTGTCTACCCTTTAAGATGCTCTGTAAATAGGGCTGGGTTTTTTTTGACTGTGGGCTGCCAAATGTGAGGGCTTTAGACATGTAATGGCTGAATTTAATTTTTTTGTTTGGTTGGGTTTTTTAAGGGGGTTTAGCCCTTTGCCACATGAAGAAATTACAGTGGCTAATTGAAAGTGGGGCTTGTACAAAGTGTTCTAATTTTCACTAATACTGAAGATTAATCACTACTCTCTTGCCAGCTTCTATCACTCAGAGCAAGCGTTTTGGCTGTGAGAGCATTGCCTTGCGTTGCCATAAATGTGGCCTGAGCAGTCTCCTGGTGGCTGCCGTCCACGGGAGCAGCTGCAAGGAGCTGGGTCTGCTCACCCTGGCTTGGTCACACGTGGGGTCCCAGGCACTCTGCAGCACAGCCCAGGGTGGTGCTTCTGCCTTGGTTTGCAGGCCTGCAGAAAGCACAGCTTACAGATCTGGTTGTCAGAGAGTGCTCGAGCACGTCCTTAGCAGCCCCTGAGAAGCAGAACCTCTTGTTAAATCCCAGGCTGACAGTCCCTGACTTCTTAGGAAAGCTGCATGTCTGATGTCTGCGATGTGTTTAGCTTCTTATTCCAGGTGACGTTAATGACACAAGCATCTCTGACGGTTTCTGAAGCAAACTTGACTTTGAGCACTTACATGGGGAGTCTGCAAAAAGGGACGGCTCAAGCTATCAGAACAAGTTAACTGCATAGAGGATGCCCAGCTGGGGATCCTTTCTTAGCATTACTTTCGTAGTCTTGGTGCTTTGCAAACAACCCCGTAGATCCCTATTTACTCCTCGACTTACGAAATTGTGCTGCTTTTTATGGTCTGTTTTGCAGGGCTGTTGTGACGACTGCTTAATACTCGTAAAAAGCAGTATGAGTGGTAAAATACAGTGGGGGGAAAAGAGCAATGGTTAGACAGTTGTTGAGTGATGGAAATATTTCTCATGTGTGCTTGTTTGATGGTTTCAGAGCTTATTATTGGTGAATAGATACATTAAAACACTTCAGCCTCTTTTGGTCACTCATCAATTATTTGCTTATTTACTTGATCTTTATTGCCAAAATACTTTAAAAACTGTACCTTCATACAGTCATCTGAGCAATGATTTGCAAACATGGATTCCAGTTACCAGCAGGTAATATCTTAGTGGAATTCTCTCCTATGTAATGCTAACAGCAAAACAACTGTAATGTGTCATGTAAGGATCGATAGCTTACACAGTTTCAAAGATAATTTATTCAAAACTTTGCCAGGATACAAATGGCTGTCATTTCTCTTTTTTTGCCTTTATTCATTTTCCACTATGTAAGGTCGTAATTGATTTTGGTTGAGACAAACTAGAGCGTGAAGAGTCACGTCTAATATTGGAGTGACAGCACACACTTAAAACAAGATCCTCTGTGCACAGCAGGACATTACTCAGTTGTGGTGCAGTGCTTTTTGTCCTACTGTGAAAAAAGATCAAATGTCATTGGACCCGTTCTGAATTTATCTGCATGCCAGTTTACCCTTTATTGGGAAAAATCCCTGAATTTTGCAATGATGAGGTTTTGCAATCCATGTTTTTTGTTCCTTTTACATTTTGCACAAGTCTGTGGCAGGGGGTATGTGTGTAACTGTAAGTTGCTTTAAACATTTTTTTTCTAGCAAGTTGTTTTATGGAATCATTCTGATCAACCAACCCTCAGCACAATGTCACTATAACCTTTACGATAAAGTATATTTTTGCTGTAGAGTTAACTTCAATAACCACGTGGGTATTGCGTCAGGCCCATTGCCTTCCTGAGTTTACCCTTGCTGGAATACTGTGGAGCTGTGAGCTGGCATGCATCAGCAGTGTTGCAAGGGGGGTATTGGTGGGGATGGGGTAGCTCTGATGGGGCTGCCTGGGTTTCTCATGGTAGGGAGCAGTCCTCGGGCAGCCTACAGAGACATACAGCCAGCTGCTTTCTGCTGCGCCTGCAGGCCAGCGCTGAAAGTCCTGAGAAGCCTCAGGACTTTACTTTGAGGGTGGCAGAGCACTGGCACAGGCTGCCCAGAGAGGTTGTGGAGTCTCGCACACTGGAGATATTCAAAACCCGCCTGGATGCCGTCCTGTGCAACCTGCTGTAGGTGACCTCTGGCAGGGGGGTTGGACTAGATGATCTCCAGAGGTCCCTTCCAACCCTGACCACTTTGTGATTCGGTGAAGCCGCTTGCGGAGGTGGCTGGGAAGATAGGGGTGAGCGGGGTGTTGGGGAGCAGCAGCAGGGTGGGAAGTACAGGACCTAAGCACCGCTTCTTGTGCCTGCGTGTAGCTCGGTGCTTGAGCCCATAGGGTAAGTGCTATATCCCTGTGGCCTGTGAGCAGGATTTCAAAGCTGCCCTCAGAGTTAAAGTTGGATGCCGAGACTGTCTCGTGGTGTGGTAGTCTCTGGGTGCCACTTTCACTTGAGCCTTGTGAATCAGGACAGTCATCTCAGTCCAAACCTGAGTCAGCCGAGTCCAGAACTCAGTGAGGACAGTGGCTAAAAAAGGTTACTCAGGGAAGATGGTAAGTACAGGCAGAGCAAGTAGTGCTTCTTCCTGGAAATCTCTCTGCTGCTCCTGATGCTCCGTGGCTCCAGGAGAAGCTTTTAATATCCCTCATTGAATATTTCTGCCATCGATTTGTCCATTTGTTTCTGAGCCAAGACTTTCACCTCCTGACATGTTTGAAACATAATTTAATTATTTTTAGTGGCTCCAACAAAATTCATCTTAAACTCTCTTCTGCCCACCTTACTATGCTTATCCTGCCAGCCATCATAATGACCTGGTTGACCATGTATCTACTTTGTAGTGAAAATACCAGCTACATTTCTGTAGGGCCGATGATTCTCTGACATCTTCTTGGAAGCTAACGCTCCCATCTTTTTGGGCAGCAAAAGTATATTGCGATTTGTTACAGGAGAAATAGAGAGTAGTTCAGCTTGCTTCATAACAAAGAACTGTCAGTGCTGCTTCTACAATATCCCAGTAACACATTTGGATGAACTTCATGAAATCCCAGTCTGGGGAGGAAGGCTTTGCCTGGTTGCTGCTCAAACACTGATTATTCACTTGAACTCAAAAATAGTTGCTTATCAAGGTTCTGGTATTCTTGCCTTTTTTTATTTTTTTTCCGAACAGTAAATAATTTGTAAACTTTATTGTAAAATAAATTAAGCTCCCTGCGGGCAAATGAAAGAGAAAATTTAGAAATAGGTGCAAAAGGACTTGTCTCTTTGACAGTCCCGGTAACTTGTTTCAAAGAGAAAGAGAAGTAGTCTCCAAATTCTGTTAGTTTTGTGTTAGATGTTCTTTTTTTTAATGCTATATTATTTTTTGTGTTGGTAAAATGTGCTGAGATAGCTGTCTAGAGGAGTTAAATCTTCATATCTACCAATGATGTACAGAAATGACAGCCAAAGCCAAATATCCTCCCTGAGTTTGGGGAAAGCTTTTGAATGGGAACAGAGCACTATCTTCTGTGTTCTTGTCAGAAATATGTCAAATTCCAATTATTTTTTTTTTATATGAGCACATCTGCTGAGAACTGCTGCTAATTTACACGCTGGAGGTAACAGCTGAGAGATCTGATGGAGACAGTCATAACTAGTGTCCTGAAATGAATTTGGCCTGTAACCCTATCAACAAAATGAAAAGTTTTAAGGAATGAAACAGCCCCCTGTATTACAAAACAGCAGTTGCGTAAAATGTATCTGCTCTAATAAAAACAAGTGTCTAAATTTCTTGTCTTTTTATTAAAAAATGTTGGGGGGAATTAGAATTCACATTTAAAAATAACTTTTCTGGTTATGGTACTCTCCTGTTTATTTATTTATGTGTTTGGGGGTTGTGATAGCTTATTCACCAGAGGTTTCCTTGCTCATGACTAGCACTCGGAACCGCTGTAGTCGGGTTTCCCAGTGTCTTTCTCGCCACTTGGACTTGTCACTACTGTATGTGCTTGCACAAACCATCTGTGACTGTGGTTCAGAAATTGTAGCTTTTCTCTGTTTTTTTCCTCCCCAAAGGAATAAAAAGTCATTTTGCATCTCAGGCTGTTGCTGTCTCTCCTGTTTTCTCAGCGTTTTTTTTTCTCTTTATCTTGGCATAAATGTTCAAGAAATGATGCATAACTCCCATGTAAAATTAAGTGGGGTAAAATAAAAAAGTTCAATATTTTTCATTTTTCAATTCCATGTAAACATTAGGAGCAATTTTTAAGGTTGAATGTTAATAAGCACTGTAAGGGCATACATTTTTAATGTAGCTGCTGCCTACGTTTGAAATTAGGTCATTCAAATTTTCTTCTGTTTATTCCAGCAGTTAACATATCACATGAAAGTAGAGTTCAAGACCACTGTTTTATACTAATTAGAAGCAGACTGAAGGTTGTATTTGGAAGGCAAAACATAAAACTTTATTTCTTTATCTATTTTATCTCCAGTAGCTCTTGAAGAAGCTGCTAAACCCGGAAATGAAATAGAGGCAAAACCGTGTGCTTTAAGATGTATTTTGCGATCTCTCCCATTTGGAATCAAGACAGGAAGGAGTCTTGACTCCAAATGTTTGCAGCATGCAGTTGGAGATGTGCCAAGATGGCATTGTAAAATGGTCATTTGCACTGTAAAACTGGGATTTGGGCAGGGGTTGACGTTGTTACTGACTTACCCAAGGAGTTTTAGAGGTTAGTCGAAGCAAAAGTTGATGTTTCGGATGAGATTGCAAATTAGTCTTTTTCTCTATAGGAGTGTCTTTGGTGCCAGATTTCCAATAGGTATACTTTGTAAAAGTAAAACTAAGGGTTTTTTAAATCTTTTTTTTAAATGCATGCTTGCATCATTGTTTGCAAGATGCCGATTTCTGTGCTCTCAATAAATAATGGAAATGCAGATCTAAGTGTTGTGCAGCCAGTCACAAACAGCGATAAGTTACTAACTCTTAAGAAGCTGAAAATGGTCTTGAAAGCTTACTGGTTATCTACCGTATTTCTTGCAAAGCTGCTTAAAAGTTTAAGTGTGTATGAAGTCAACATAGGTTTCTGTAAAGATACAAAAATAATGGTTAACAGAGTTTTGTACTTGTTGCACTTTGAAGATAACATTGTTATGTTTCAGGTGTGTTAGACTATTACAAAAAGAATCTAATTGAAATGTTGTGTTTTCTTTCAGCTCCAGTGATAAACCGATTCACCAGACGGGCATCAGGTAAGTTGGATAAAGTTGCGTGTTTCATTCGTCTGCGTAATAGCTGAAACATAATGCTGATGGTGATTGTCATGTAAAACATAATACAATGCTAGTCATACTTCTTTAAAGGTTACTGACTTACGTTAGCCTCAAATTTGTTATCTGGTTTACTGAAAAATTTAGCCAAGGTTTCAAGTCACAGAACTTGCATGAAGCCTTCTTGTTGCTCTGGAATTTATGAAAAAAATGAGATTTTCTTTTTTCCTTTAAAGAAAATAATCTTAATCCTAACAGAACTGAACTTTGAAAGCAAGAGCTGAATGTTGTCTGATGCAGGGTTGTCTTGCTTGCATAGACAGCCTGAAACAGCAGTTTGGTGATCATCTATGCATGAGAAAATGTACAACCGTGCTAGAAATCTCTTTTTTTTTTTTTTTTTTTTTTTTTTTTCCAAAACGGCGTTTGTTTTTGGAAAACGGAGCTGGTTTGTGTACATGATGCGTTGTTCTGGTGTGCAGAGCTGACTGATTGGGTCCTAGAAGCAGCATTGCCGTGGTGGTGGTGTGTTGCGCTAGGATTGCACCTGCCTAGCTTGGTGCCAATTTGTGTATTCTTTAAGTTAACTTGTTTTGTGCCGGCTCAGAAGACTATTTAACAGATCCCTCCAAATATTGTATCAGTAAAAATGAATATTCTTGGCCTCTACTTATTGTTCTGCTGTATCATAGCCTTTAGGCTTCATTTTTGAGGGCTTTTTCTCCTGAAGCATGAGGCCTAAGTCTTATTTGTTTGAAATACTATGAATCTAAATGTGGGGTGTAAGAGCCACCACTAAACGTAATGAGACTTGCACCTGACTCCTAAGAGTCAGCAGAGTGGGAGATGTGAGCTGTTCCTAGTCATCTCAGTATGCTAAGTTTAAAATCTAACTGTAATATGCTTTCTGTTTTCATTTTTAGTAAATGTAATGAAGTTTGTATTCCATAATGCAGTAAGTCTATCCAGACTTCTAATTTTGCTAGTTACAACCTCAGTCAGATAGTTCCTTGTCAACATAAAGATACTAGTGGAGATCCTCAGGATTACTAATCTGCATAGAAAAATGGAGATTGCATTTGCGGGACTGGTGCATAGCGTATGTAAGTAAGAAAATGTAATGAAGTCCAAATATTCTCATGTTTTAAGTAATGATAATACTTCATGAGGTACTGTAGCATGAAATGAAAGGAACTATTCGTTAACTAGCACTCGGTAAGTGAGCAGGGCTTTATGCAAATTACATTGCGTGTTTTAAGGAAAGTTTTACTGTGACTGATTGATAGCTGACTTTAATGAATGCGGTCCTTACAACAGATTTGTGATAAGCTTTTACATTTCAGTAGGAAAGTTTGATTGTTTGAAAAGCTAATACTTGCTGAGGAAAAAAAAAAATCAGTTATTTTTAGTGTTCCTTTAAAAGAAAATAAAAACATGTTAGAAGCCTGAAATTTTTACACAATTATTGGGGAAATATTTTCTATGGGCAATTAATATTTCATGTGTTTTGGTCTTGCTGTGGAAAGATAAAATAGAACTGTCTTATTCAGAATAATGAATTAAGTTGTATGGTACGGTCCAGATGTAAATCATGTGAATACATTTCAAGCTGGAACAAGGTAATATTGCAGTCTACTATATGTACTATTTTGTTAAGTTTTGGCAGCTTTAATAGTCAAAATAATTATTTTTCAAACAAGAAAGCCTATGAAAGGTGGTAGTTGTTACTTTTCTTCAATACTAAATGACTACTGGAGATGTACAGTACATCTAAGAAAACTGATAAAATATAAAAATATGAAATGAATTATATTGATAATACAAACACTTTATGGGGATGTTTGCAGCCTAACCATATTTTTAGATACTTTTTTTTAATTGAACAATTGTTTGGATACATTAAGGTGGTCAAGATACCTTGCAAGTGGAAAAGCCAAATAGTAACTGTTTTTTTATGCTTGGTAGCTTAACAGCATTCTGTAATGAAGTTGATTCTCATGTTTAGGAAATAAGAGGCTGACCAAATGAAACATGGGGTTTTTCTCAACTATGTGTTTCTTTTAATTTTAGGCTATTTAGCTGAAAGCTGTTTTAAGATTTGAAATGTGCAAAATTGTTGATTCTTGAGTGGTTTTGAAGATTTGCTTCTGACAAACATTTCTCCAAGTTAATAACAAGTATTCAGAGAGTTAGCTGTAGCACGTAGTTTCACGTTGCATCTGATCTAGTGATACTGCAGACTGATTCTGAGAGAGTGATTTTAGGGTCCCTGCCTCTGTCGTGCCTCTACCCATAGGTTGTCTCTACTTTGCTTGCATAGACCTAGGAGTTGTGCTGCCTGAGGGTGCATTGATTGAAAGAAAATAGAAATATAGGAGGTTTTGGTGTGTTGATTTTCATTGGGTCTCCAACTGACCTGTGCTGTGGCTCTCAAATAACTGCATCTGAAAAGGAGTAGTAGTGGCTGCCTTTAGCCAGTGGTGGGATGGAGAAAGAGCTGAAATGCTGACACCAGTTGAGGCAAAACACCCAATGGTATCTGCAGCAAAGGCTCCTAGACTATTCTGCTAAAAGCTGCTTTTTGAGCTCTTTCAGTGATAAGCAGGGAGAAGCCAGGAGATGACACACATTTCTTCACAAAGAACAATAATTTTCTACAGTGGATGTCTTGATTTTGATGTTTCTGTTATTCTTTGGATAATGCCTAGTATTTTACTTGGTGGCATAAGATATAGTTATTTTTCTTAACTGAGCTAGAAATTAAGCAGCCAGAGTTTAATTGCTGAAGCACCTGCTGAAAACAATATAGTAAGGCATTTATTATTTAACAGCTGTTCCTGTTAACATGCTGTGAATGTATTAATGTAATGTCATTGGTATGTAGAGGATAAAGGCGTAAGTAAGCTAGGATCAATTAATTGTTCTTGATTTTCAATTTTTAAAATTTATTGAGCTATCTAATTTAGTATCTCTTCTGTGTGTTTATGGGTATGTGTGTATATATGCAATGTGGGCTCTATACGTAAAATACACATATACCGTAGGGCTGATGACATAGCTACTTAAGGGCTAGTTAATAATCCACTCCATTGTTCTACACTATGCACAAAGAATAATAGATATCATAGTCTTAAATAGAGCAGTTTAGGAAGAAGAGGAGATTAAAAATACTTTATAGAGCTAGAATGAACAATGAGACAGCTGCAAGTAGTTAACCCTTAATTTTTCTCTTAAAATCTGGTGGGACTGAGATGAAGACAAAAGAAAAAAACTGTTGAGGTGATTAAGATACTTGGATGGGAAGAAAGTGGGGCATGGAGGAAGAAGCAGCATGAAGTGGAAGAGAAAGCTGTGAGTATGTTCATGAGGTGAAAAATGAGCAGAAATTCCTGAACAAGCTGAGGTAGCCAAGAGGTGCAGTTTCTGAATACAGACAGATACTCTCTTGCTATGGATGAGATTAGTTTTCATCTGACTAAGTATGAGATACTTAGGGTTCAAAAGCTGACGTGGTTCTGTATGTTAGCAGAAGCATTGGGTTCCTGCTTTTCAGCATCTTGATAGATAGATAAACAAGTAAATTATCTCATTAAATACTGGCAGGAGTTTAGAATAATGCAACAAAACCAGCATGGGTTTGCTACAGAATGAGCTGAAATTTATACTTGATAGATACTATTTACGGAGGCTATTCATACCCATTTACTAGTAATATATACAAATGTATAATATCATCTTAATTAAGAAATAGATAACAGTCTATAAAGTTACTTCAGTTATGTATATGCTCGAGCTTCTGAAAGAGTGAAGAGAACGTGACTGAGGTTGCTGTGAGTTAGCCTTCTCAAGCTAAGAACTGGTAGATAGGCTCAAAGGTAGCTGTGGAGCATCTCGTTATCAGCAACAGAGATAACTTCCTCATTCCTCTCTTTCAGTCAATGACTATCTTCAAAATAGTATTTTTGTCCTGTGGAAGGGAAGTAAATGAAGTTTTAAATATTATTCTCTCAACCAAATTGGAAAGAGAAGTAGCTTTATTTTTTTGTCAGCTTCTCCACAAAGCTCTAAACAAAAGTAATTTGAACGTAGTCAACAGGCAGCATACATCAGTGCTGAACCTCCAGGGAGAAGCTGGAATAAACTTGCAATTAAGGAGATATCACTCCTGTGGAAAGAACAGAAGGGAGCAGAGAAGGCAAAAGCTTTCCGGCTTCATCACCATGGATGCTGGTAAGGACTTCTCCAAAGAAAAGAGAGAAACACATTAAAAGTAAATTGATGCTTACATTATACACCTACTGTGTCAGCCATCAATCTAAGTGAGAAAGAGAAAATTTCACGACATCTGTTGCACAGGTCTCTGTGCAGCAAATATTATTCTTTTTTTTTTACTTTGAAACTTTTTTTTTTAATTTGCAGTTGTTGAACTTGGAAATATTTTTTGCCTTTACACGCACTGCTAAGAACTGTCGCTTTTACATGGCTGATTAACTGAAGAGGAAAGGCTGAGAAAGAAGGAAAACAATTATTATGAACTTTGAAAATGATGCATTTAATTCATTTAGCAGGTACTCAAATTCAAAATATTTTTGTATAGAGGTCAAATCACTTATGTATTGTAGTGATTTCTGATAAAGATGGGGCTGTGTTTAGTTGGCTTGTCTCTTATTTTTTTTCCTCTTTTTTTATGGAAGTATAGAAGTTTTCTAAGAACCAAAACTCATTTTACTTCACTACAAATTTTAGACTTAGAAAATGTCAACAATTTGAAGAGAAAGAAGGAGATGAAACATTCTCTTTATTCTTAATTGCTTGAGATGCCCAAAAGCCGTGATAAAGGAATTGTTTAACACAGATGGTAGTTAATTTGAATTGATAGAGAAGTTGATTTAGTTAACTTCTGCTCAAGCCATGCAATTATTTAAATATTTTCCAGCAAGAATTTCTGCAAGTTAGAAACATTTTCTGTTAACCTCAGTCAG